CCCCGGCCGCCCTGGGCAGCAGCTCTGTGTAGGGCGCAGACGCGTTCTGCAGAGGGTAGAGCACGAAGGGCGCATTGTCATTGGAGTCCAGTACGCGCACGCGCACCAGCGCCTGACTGCTGAGCGCAGGCGAGCCTTGGTCTGTGGCGCCCACGCGGAACTCTAAGGTCTGCAGGGCCTCATAGTCCAGCGCCCTGAGCGCGAACAGCTGCCCGTTGTCTGCATTGATGGAGATGAGCGAGGAGAGGGCCAGCTGCGGGTCGTGGGTGGGCAGCAGCGAGTAGGTGATGTGGGCATTGGAGCCTGAGTCTGAGTCTGTGGCGCTGATGGTGCCTATGTGCAGGGCGGGGCTGTTGTTCTCCTGGACAAACAGGGTGTAGGAGGTTTGTGTGAAGGCTGGAGCATTGTCGTTGACGTCAGAGACCTGCACTGTTAAGGTGTGCTGGGTTTTAAGTCTGGGTGTGCCCAGGTCGGTGACTGTGATGGTGATATTGTACTCAGCTCTGCTCTCCCTGTCCAGCGCACCTTCAGTCATCAGTCTATAGAAGTTCTCAACAGAAGGTTCCAGTGTGCAGACAACACCATCCTGGATGGAACAAACTGTCCTTCCATTTTCCCCAGAATCTCGGTCTCTAATCCGAAACAGAGCCACTTCTGTCTCTGGTGAATTTTCTGGGATGGGATTGGTGAGCGATGAAATAGTTAGTTCTGGGTAATTATCATTGACATCCACCACCTGAATATAAACAGAGCATTTTCCAGAAAGTCCCCCGCCATCTGATGCCTCTATGTCTACTTCATATGAAGATGCTGTCTCAAAGTCGAGTGTTTTAATCAGCCGAATTTCTCCTGACATGGCATTTAGCTCAAAAGTTTTGCTCATCTCCTGAGAGCTACGTAAAAGAGAGTATGATACTTCTCCGTTTGTCCCAGTGTCTAAATCCTTGGCCCAGACCTTAGCAACCAGGGAACCCACCGGGCTGTTCTCTAGAATTTGCACCTGATAGAGCGCCTGCACAAACTCAGGGGCGTTGTCATTGACATCCACGAGAATAATCCGTATTTGCGAGGTGCCAGTCCTGGGCGGAGAACCGCCATCCAGCGCTGTCAGAGTCAGCCTGAACTCTGCCTGCTCCTCGCGATCAAGCTCTTTGTCCAGCACGAGCTCTGGGTATTTCCTCCCATCACCTCGGTTGCGGAAGGAAACGTGGAAATGAGAATTGGAACTAAGGCTATAGTTCTGAATGCTGTTGTTGCCCACATCCAAGTCCTGAGCGCTTTTAAGTAGAAACACGGCACCAACAGGGCTGTTCTCTATGATTTTCACGGTCATTTCTCTTTCAGCAAACTCGGGAGAATGATCATTTATGTCTCCCACTCGTAGCTCAGCTCGAAATATTTCCAGTGGTTTTTTCAGTAACACTTGGAAATGAGTGACACAGGGCTCAGTGGGGCCACACAGCTCCTCCCGATCCAGTTTTTCATTTACTATTAGCTTCCCAGTCTGAGGATCAAGCTGCAATCGTGATTCATTATCCTCAGAGACCACCTGGGCTCCTCGAGCAGCTAGCTCTGCAACTCCCAGCCCGAGGTCCTTGACTAGATCAGCCAAAACCGTGCCTCCAGGTGTTTCCTCCAACACAAAGTCCCAGTAAAAAAAAGATAAAAAGAACTTGCAGTGGGCTGGGCTCCCTTCCAGTCTTCATCTTTGCTTCCACACCCAGGATGCAAGGGCACCCAGACAATGGTCGATCTGTCGGTTTATAGCCTGTTTCGAAGTGTAGGTTAGCAGCAGTTTCTGGAGATTTAATGGTTTGAGCTCTGTCTCAGGTCTTTTCTAGCCGGAGATCTGAAGAAGCCTTTTTTTTTTCTTTCTTTCTGCGGTCATCGCTTTTTAAGCCTTAGCCTGCAGCGCCACCATGCGTTGATTTTGCTTCACAACAGATCGCTACTTGATTGCATTCTTTTTTGTCTATTTGGTTGTTAGGGTTTGGAAATAAATCCAATCACGAAACAACGCTACTTTGAATTCTGATTATATATAGTCTCTCATTTAAAAATGAGAATTCTTGTTGTTTATGTGTGAAAAATACACAAGAAAACAACCCAGACCAGCTGCCTACCAGAGTGCCTGCAGTCTGTGTTGGGGGCACTCTAGGGGAAACCGAGAAATGAAAGAAGACATAGGACTGATTGACCAGTCATCTTGTAAAATTAGAGACACGTATCCATGCAATTTAAAATTCAGCATAAAGTGGGGTCAATACTTCTGGGGCTTCTTTATAATTTTATGTCTTCCAGGTTGTGGTGCCCATTGGTTGAGTTTCATAAGGGAAAATATTCTACATGTAGGTTCCAGTTTATGATACACATTGTACATATATATGGTCAGGAACTTAAAATTTTATAAAAGTTTTCACCCGTGGGAGAACTCATATGAAAGCACCTATTATCCCATATTTTCTCTCTGGTGTTTTTCATCACATGTACCATAGATGAACATATGTATTTGTGTAACCTGTAAAGTACTTCAGTGTTGTTTGCGTCACTGCTGCACCCCAATATCTCAAATAATCATTGGGACAGAGAAGATGCTCAGTAAATATTTGCTTAATCCATCATAGAATAAAACACAAAATTGTGTGCATTTTCCTCCTATTGTAGATGCTTCTTGTTTTGTTGGAATCCTAACTCATTTTTTATAATAAGCTGGATAAACAAGATGGTATTTCCCTAGGTAGCAGTTCTCTATACTTCTTCAGTAGTCACTTGAAATAATATGGAGTGTCTAAACCATCTTTTCATTAAAGGAAAAAACACTGTGCCTTGTCCTAACTAAAGAGGGTCTTGAGGCCTAGCCTTGAACTCAAGATCTCACCTCAGCTGCCTGAGATTACCATCACTCCTGTCTTCAAAATTACCCATTTAGACAAAAGGTTCACAGTTCCTTCCCATGTTAATGCAGTAGTTTACAAACCTTTTGATTTGTGTTATAGTAGCATGAATGGTTTAATGAAAATATGAAATTAACAGGAATAATTCATCATTCTAGGCAAGAATATCTAAGCATGCTTTTAATGAAAACAAGCAAACCAACCATTACTGAGCTGGACTAGGAACGGTTACAAGAACACATTTTAGTTCTCTGTTCCCAGTCCCACCCAATAGTGACTCAGGGATTACTGACAAGAATGTCCTCTATAGGACCACTCATATGTTATCTTTCCTTTCCTCTCTCAGAGGTCTGAGATGGCATCAATTACTTGTAGCAATCCTAACAGAAAGACCAGAATACATTTGGTTTCTATGGTGATTTTAAAAGTAAACAGGATCAGACTGGCTCAGCTTAGGTTAGCAATACCCATCACTAGGTCCAATTGTCTGAAATCATAGAGGGACCTGAGTTGTACAAAGCTTTGATCCTGTACCTATGCAGAAGAGAGTTATTTTCAGATATCTGGCTAGCCAGATATCACAGGAGGGATCTGGTTTTTTAGAAGTTTTGAGATAATCTAAAACGTTTTAACAATATTCATATTATTACATGCTGGATGTTCCTATGAAGACAATAAAAGCCTTAGAAATTCAGAGAAATTGTCTTTCCCAATTAATACTGCTATACAACAAAATCATGCATTTTTCAGATACTCTGAGACAGGAAAGCACAATATTGGACAGAAGATACACTGATAATTCATGACATCTGTAACATTTCAAACTTTTCGATAATGTTTCTGGACAACAATCAATAAAATGAAGGTATTTCCAAATCAATGATGATTCATTTTGACAATCTGGCAAGTTGAAAAAAATACTCACTTGTCATGAATGAGTAATGCTCTCTGTCTTCATCAAAAAGTGATTTTTTAAAAGAGACTACGCTGTAAGGGTATGCACAGAATTTATCATCTCTTGAATTAGGAAAATAAAGGCAAAAAGTTAGAAATTCCTTACGAAGATAAATCAACGGAAAACAAGAATGTTTAGAAAGAATAAACGTTTATCTGGAACCATCCGAAAAGTCAACAAATTGTTAATTGTATCCAAAACCATTCATAGAGGTGGAATTCTCCTCCACGCAAGTCACAACCTGATGGTCGGGAGACACAGGCTTTAGGAACTGAAAATCTTTGGTATCTGATACTCCAGTCAGACACACCTCATACTGGTAGCTCTGGGACAAGGTTTCCCTGCCACTGAAGTCCATCAGGTGGCCAGGAAAGTGTGCCTCAGGCACAGAGCAGCCACCCAAAGAGGCCGCCCTAGCCCTCCTGCACAGCCTCACCCCCACAAACAGCAGCACAGACAAAAAGAAAAGCGAAGACACAGATGCCAAGGCGATGACCAGGTACAGCGTAAGTGCATCCTCGTCTTGTGCAGGTTCCTGTCCCACCTCGGGCAGAGGCAGGTAGGGCTGAGAGAAGCCATCCACCACCAGCACATGCAGAGTGACACTGGCAGACCTAGGAGGGTCGCCATTGTCCTTGACCAGCAGCAGCAGCCTGTGCTTGGGAGCATCGCGCTCACTCAGCAGCCTGGAGGTGCGCACCTCGCCATTGTGAGCCCACACGGTGAACAGCCCAGGCTCCGTGGCCTTGAGCAGCTGGAAGGACAGCCAGGCATTCTGGCCAGAGTCGCGGTCCACTGCCACCACCTTGGTGACCAGGTAGCCTGGCTCTGCCGCCCTGGGCAGCAGCTCTGTACAGGGAGCAGACGCGTTCTGCGTCGGGTAGAGCACGAAGGGATCATTGTCATTGGCATCCAGCACGAGCACGCGCACCAGAGCCTGGCTGCTGAGCGCGGGCAAGCCTTGATCTGTGGCGCCCACGCGGAACTCGAAGGTCTGCAGGGCCTCATAGTCCAGCGCCCTGAGCGCGAACAGCTGCCCATTGTCTGCATTGATGGAGATGAGCGAGGAGAGGGCCAGCTGCGGGTCGTGGGTGGGCAGCAGCGAGTAGGTGATGTGGGCATTGGAGCCTGAGTCTGAGTCTGTGGCGCTGATGGTGCCTATGTGCAGGGCGGGGCTGTTGTTCTCCTGGACAAACAGGGTGTAGGAGGTTTGTGTGAAGGCGGGGGCGTTGTCGTTGACGTCTGAGACCTGCACTGTTATGGTGTGCTGGGTTGTGAGCCTGGGTGTGCCCAGGTCGGTGACTGTGATGGTGATGTTGTACTCAGCTCTGCTCTCTCTGTCCAGTGAACTCTCTGTTACTAGAGTGTAGAAATTTTTGAAAGTGGGTTTCAAGAGAAAAGGAAGGTTGTCTGGAATTGAGCACATCATTCTGCTGTTGTCTCCTGAGTCTTGGTCTCGTACACTGAAAACAGCAACCACCATTTCCGACAAGCCGTTTTCTGGGATAGGACTAATAACAGAGGTAAAGACTATTTCTGGTGGGTTGTCATTCACATCTGTAACTTGAACAATAATGGCTGATTTTCCAGAGAGACTCCCTCCATCTTTGTCTTGAACATTTATTGTATAAGACTGAATTACCTCAAAATCTAGGGGTGCTTTCAAATGGACTTCACCAGAAGTTGGATGGATTTTGAATGTTTTCCGTACATCTCTAGAGACATGAGAAAATGAGTATGATATTTCTCCATTCATCCCTGTGTCCAAATCTGTAGCAGACACCTTGATCACCAGCGAGTCCACAGGGCTGTTCTCTGGAACTTGAACCTCATACAGCGTTCTTTCAAACTTAGGAGCATTGTCATTGACATCTACAACCACAACTTGAATCAGTGCAGTTGCTGACCTGGGCAGGGACCCACCATCTGTGGCTGTTAGTATCAAGCTAACTGAAGGCTCCCTTTCTCTGTCCAGAGGTCCATCCAGTACCAACTCTGGGTATTTCCTTCCTTTACCACCATCTTTTAACTTAAGGTAGAAATAGGGGTTGGGGCTTATTGTATAGTTTTGGACCCCATTAATTCCTACATCTAAGTCCTGAGCATTATCCATTTGGAATGAGGTCCCTGGAGTAGCACCTTCTGAGATATTTAGAAATATGAGTTTCTCTAGGAATGTGGGAGGATGGTCATTTATGTCTTCAACCAAAAGCTCAGCCTGAAAAAATTGCAGAGGATTTTCCAGTAACACCTGGAAATGCAATATACAGGGTTCCCTTGTGCCACAAAGTTCCTCCCTGTCCAGTTTTTTGTTCAAGAGCAAGTTGCCAGTCTCAAGTTCTAACCGCAAATAAGGCTGATAGTCATCAAATATAACTCTGGCACCCCGTGCAGTCAGGTCACCCACACCCATATCTTTAATTATATTGGCTATAGAGGAGCCAGTCTCCATTTCTTCTGCCACAGAATAGTTCCAGGTCTCAGAAAGAACCGAAGGCCCTCCCAGAAAAGCAAGAAAGATCAGCACTTGCCTTATTTGCTGGGCAGCTGTCACTCCTGGCTCCATCATTCGCTAGACTAGAGGCTTTCTGCTGTTCTGTTTCAACTCAGTCTCTGGCAGCTCAGAGAGTGGCTCCGCTCGTCTGGACCTTTAGGAATTGATAGATTTGCACTCCTTTCTGGAGGGTCTTGTCAGTGCCCTGCCTTTTCAGACAGCCTGAATGCTGTTTGATCTGGTGCTTTCCCTTCCGCTGGTTAAGGGAACACTGAGCTGCTATTAGGAAAACAGTTTCCCATCTTATCCTGCAGCGCCACCATGTGACTATGCAGGTTGTCAGGTTTCAGACAAAGCGGAGTAAGTTTGAGACAAAACACTAATTTATCGAATGCATTTGTTAATGAGCCAGAATTATATTTTCTCTTTTATTCCCATCTCCATTTCTGAGTTGTAGCTTTTGTGAGTAACACAATAAATTGCTATATGATAGAGCTGAGTTGGCGAAATGGTTTACAAGAGAATCCTTGTTTCTAACAGTTCATGGTCTCTCCTTGAAGACAACTGCAAAACTAAAGATAGGTCAAAGGGCCCACATGCCATTGATTTTTACAAAGATGAGCAAGAGATTCTTAGGAAAATTGAAACTGGAAACATAGAGCTCTCCCCTAGCCATTATTACATGCTCTCAGAGAAGGCTGGAAGGGTGTTTTAATGCCCTTGAAGTTGAGTCTGTATGTGCAAATAGTTGTTTGGTGGAAGTTGGATATTTGGGGCTGGGTAATAGTACCATTTCCATAGGAACACTCCATAGGAGACTTCCCTGGCTGCAGTAGAAAGTAAATGCTCACTAGAGAATAGTGTATGATGTGTTCAGATTCTTACAACAATAAGCTGTAGACTGACCTTCACTATTTTGCAATCCAGGGTTTCCAAAGGCATGGTTCTGAGTATTTTATTTATCCATTTCCTGATTTGCTCAGTGAATGTTTATTAAGCATATACTTGAGCTAGTATTGGTGGTAAGAATTAGAGAATGAATGCTAATCAGGAAGAAACAGCTTCTGCCCTGAAAAGGGGAGAAATAAAATGAACACTTAACATGAAGCAGAATGGCTGCCTTGATGAGAAAGGCTCATGCTAATATAAGATTATAGTTGAGGATCAACTAACCAAAATTTGGAGGTGGAGAAAGGCTTTCTGGAGAAAGTATATTCTATCTAACTGATACATGCAAAATAAATGGAAGCAATCTGAAAAAAAATGAGGGCTGGAGGCATAGCTCAGTGGTTAAGACAGCAGTGAAGCCCTGGTCTCTAGGAAAGTAGAAACACGATGCTGCAAATCTAAACTGAGAGGCTTGTTTCAAAAGAACTGAAATAAGATCATGGCAATGGCACAGAGCAAGACAGGTTTGGTAAAAGCTGAAATTAGAAAAGCAAGCAAAGAGTTTATAAGGCATGTCAGTAGAAATACAAGACTGTTAAAGAGTTCCGACCAGAAAAGTAATATAATATAATCAAATTTTATTTTTAAGAAAAACATGTGTGAATAAACTAGGAAAGAATAATATAAAAACTGGGCACAGGTAAGAGCTGGTTTCAATAATAGAGGTAGATGATGATACTGGCCTCAATTGCACCCAAACTAGGAGATAATATGGGATGAAGTGATAGATAACTCATATGGGGGTGTTATAATAAGGAAAATTATTCCATTTACAAGATTTAAGTATTAAATGATATTAGTGCTGTTAACTGATGGTGTTAACACAGAAAGAAGACAAGGAAGAGGGATATTCATGGAGCTAGAGGGGAAATACTCTTTCAGTTTAGGGGAAGGGGAAATTTTAACTTAAAACCTATGTAGGGTATTAAAAATTTTAAGTTGACCATGGAACATACCTACAGTCACATACATGATCTTCCATCATATAAACAACACCGAGGAAAGAAGTGAGCTTCAGTGACTAAAACAGAAAAAAATAAAAGACCCAGAGACTGATATTGGGGTTCAAACTTCAAGCTGAAGAACAGAAAAGCAAAGTAGCCAAACTACCTAGAGCTCTTACCTCTAACAGGGCTGGGGCACTCCTATTCTCAATTCTCAATGTGACTGAAGCATGAATGCCCCCACTGAGTACTAATGACTCTGCTTCTATGTTTTTATACCCATCTAGTGCTGGGATTAAAGGCATGTGGTCTGTTACTCTTTTAGACTTATTCAGTCTCATGTATCCCTGGGTGACTTTGAACTCAGAGAGATCCAACTACCTCTTAATCCCAAACCCTAGGATTAAAGGTATGTACCACCACTTCTTAGCTTCTGGCTGCTGAGATTAAAGGTGTTGTCTAGCTTCTACGGCTTGTGGCTGACTTTGCTTTCTGAATCCTCAGGCAAGCTTTAATAAATCATAAATAATGTATCAACACAAGAGACAAATTTGGGATTTATTGACATAAATAGTGCTTGAAACCCTCCAAGAAAAATAATAAAACACAACTTAAGGATGATTGAATTTCTGATTTGGGGGATGTATTGCTGTGGCACTGCACGTTCTTTGCAAGTACAAAGGCCTTTTGTTGTACTTGTGCTCACATCTGGAAAGACCTATTGGTGGAGTGGGGCCGTGAGAAGGAAGAGAGGAGAGACTATCCAGCCATAAGAGACTACCACTTCCGGAATGTACTTGTGGTCCTGTGGTGACATTCTAGAGTAGAAATGAATGTGGAATCAGGCATGATGATACTCATAATTGTAAATGGAGTTTTTAATTGGTCTAGATAATAAAAGCCAATATTTAGATAAAGAGAAAAATACTGAGAGATCAGAGAGAAGGAGCAAGCCACCTCCACACTTTACGGCCTTTGAATCTCAGCAGAGAAGAGAGTTCCTGTTTCCTCCTGTTTCTATCCTGTTTATGACCAGGAAGCTCACTTCCTGTCTGTCTGTACAGACCTCCAGACCTCTATGGTTAGCTAGTAGCAAGCTCCATTCTCTGACCTTCAGACAGGCTTTATTTGTACAAGCAAGATATCACCACACATAATTCTTGTACTGGAGAAGCTGAGGCATGGGAATAACCAGTTTGTAGCTGGTCTAGACCACACTTCTCTTTATCCAGAGAAGAGGAGAGAAAGAATGTGACTAGAGGCTAAAAAGAGAGAAGGTCAAATTTCTAGACCACAATTGTGACTAGGTATGCGTCAATAAAAAGGAAATGTATTTATACTACTTCTTTCCTGTGATCTTTATTAGTTAAAACTAAAATGATATCAAGTTTGTTTGATTTTTCTCCTTTGATGACTCTATAAAAAGACCAGATAGAATGTTTTGCTAATTTCAGTTAGCACATTTAAGATTTCTTATTTTCCATTGATTCTACCGAGAAACATGGATCAGATTAGACAGTGTAATTGTCATGTATTGAAGTTAAATTTCTCTTTCCTGTGTTTTTTTCTAAATAAAATTTCTCTTTTTCTTTGTTTTTATGAAATTCCACTATGATATTTATACACACAAGTATCTCTGTAATGTTTTCTTTTAGATTTACAGCAATCTCTTAGATTTGTTTGCTGATGTTTCACTAATTCTAGAAGTCCCCCAGACTTTATTTCTTCAAATACTGTTCTGGCTAAAATTTGCTCATCTGTCTTGCTGGGCAGTGATAGTAGACAACTTTAACCTCAGTACTCAGAAGGCTGAGGCGGGCAGATCTCTGAGTTCAAGGCCAGCCTGGTCTATAGACTGAATTCCAGGATGACTTGGTCTTCACAGAGAAATTATGTCTCAAAAAAAAAAAAAAAACAAAAAAGAAAGAAAACTGCATCTCTCCCTTTGTATGTCCTTTTTACTCTATCTCATGTTTTTAAAAATCTCTTCTTGTGTTTTCATTGTATTAACTTTCTGAGCTACATAATGTATGAATTGTATTTGAACATTTTTTATGTGGCTAAACATTTTGCTGTGCTTTTATTGTTTTCTATACTGCTTTAATTTTTTTGACTAATGTGTTTTATGTTATGGAAATTTAATTTTGTCCTTATCAAACATGTCATGTTAGTGTTGATGTGTGTGAGCACAGGTGCTGGCAGAAGTAAGGAAAGGGGGTCAGTTTCCCTGGAGCTAGAGTTGCAGTTGAGCAACCAGGCATGGGTAGTGGGAATGGAATTTCCACTCTTAGTGCTAGAGTCAATCTCTCTAGCCTCCCTATCTGTCATATTTTACAGGATTTTTTGTTACCTGTACATTTTCAGGGTTAACTTCTATTTCAGTTAACATGCTTAGTATATTATAGATTGCCTGATAATGATAATAATTTTACATTCTTTCCAGGTATCTTTATCGTTGTTTTGTTTCCTGATGACTCTCATTCATGGTTTCATGTTTCCTAGGATAAGCAGTTGTCAAGTATTAAAATGCAAAGCAATAGGGTGGATAATCTATGCTGGCATTGTTTATTTATTTATTTACTTATTTATTTGGTTTTTCAAGGCAGGATTTCTCTGTGTAGCTTTGGAGCCTGTCCTGGAACTCACTCTGTAGACCAGGCTGGCCTTGAACTCACAGAGATCCACCTGCCTCTGCCTCCTGAGTGCTGAGATTAATGGTGTGCATCAACACCACCCGGTTTAGGGCATAATTTATTTTATATAAACTTGTATTTGATTTTATCCGGACCTAATTAGCCTGTCAATGATAGTTACTTAAGTTTCAGGCTAAAAAGTCAAGTTCAAGGCTAAAATACACAAGGGCTGATGTAGTTCTGGTTTACTCTTATCTCACCAAGGTTGCTTTTAAGGATTCATGCTGACTAATGGGAAGGGCTTCTATAAATGCCTCAGTTTGTTAGTTTGGTTTCCATTATGTAAATCATTGACATGAAGGTTTGAATTTCCCAAAATTCTAAATGGCCCCAAGAAAATTTACACCTTGCAATTATCTGTTTCTCTACATTTCAACAACAAATTTGAGCTTATAATCTACTGGTGTCATTTTTTTTCAAGACAGTGTTTTTCTGAACAGTCTTGGCTGCCTTGGAATTCACTCTGTAGAGCAGGCTGGCCTCAACCTTACAGAGATCCACCTGCCTCTGCCTCCAAGGTGCTGGGATTAAAGGCGTGCCCAGTGTGTTTATACTAGTGTCTTAATAGTTCATTGCTTCCTGTGAATGAAGACGCAGACTTAATGTTAGCCATATATCCACACTGCATTGTAGCTATCAACATCTCTGTCTATACTCCTCCACTGAACTGTCCATCTACAGAATTACGACCTTACAATGTGAAATATAATTAAGCATTTACCAATCATAAATATAGACCTATTCTTTGTGACTATCTCAGAGAGACCACAAAGTATTAATATTTTGAAGTTACTTTTCTTTGCATGCCAAAAAAGCTCAGTGTGCACACATTCCCATATTTACTCTTTTTGCTGAGAATTGAGAGTAAAGCCAACACAACTAGACATTATATTTACACCATTTCTTCTTATTTTTAAGATCATAGTGGGTCTTAGAAACAGGGTCTCAGCCTGCAGCAGAGGCTGGTATTGAATGCACTGCATAACATGGGTGTCCTGCCATGTCATGTCCATAGTATGTCATAAGTCCTGCCAATTTATGACTGCCTTAGTGTCTCAAGTGAAGGGTTCCAATTCTACTTCTCCACTGTTTCTTTTTAATTTTTGAGAATGCATGTCAGAGCTTTACATTTCACCCAGTCTCCCAGGTGCCTGGGTTATAGAAATATACCAGCACATCAGGGTCCTGTTTCCTTCTTTATTTCCATTTAAGGAAAGCTCTTACTATGTAGCCCAAATCAATGCTGAATTGATTATTCTCCATCCCCAGTTGCCAAGGGCTGGGATTACAGAATTGTGCTTCCATGATTAGCTTATATTTACTTTTATTAAAGGTGAGGAAGAGTAAGTCTAAGTCTTTTTTAACACTTTAAATTTTATTTCAGGGGCTAGAGAGATAGCTCAGCAATTAAGAGCACTGGCAGCTTTTCTAGAGGTCCCAAATTCAATTCCCAGTACCCACTTGGCAGCTCACAACTGTCTGTAATTCCAGGTCCAGGGAATTCAACACCCTCACAGAGACATACATGTAGGGAAAATATAAATGCACATAAAATAAAATAAATCACTTAAAAATCTTTATTTTAATTCCTAGGATGATTTTCTACTGTTCTTTTAAGGTAAAAGACTATTTTACTTAGGACAAGATCATGATCTTACTATCTGCTTTATCAATAAATGGTATAGAGTACCACATATTTTAACCAAGCCAACAAAATAGTGTATTTAAAAATGAGAAAACAGCAGTATCAAGACCTAGAATAATTTGAGAATCAGAAAGGATTATTAGAAAATAGATAAGGAAAAATAACTTGAGTAATCAATATTTAATGTAGATCACATGAGCAGAAATCAGTTCTTGAAAACACTAGGAAACAAAGGTGGCCTCTATGACTGTATATGGAGGAGTGGCATTTTAAATCTCTTACGATGAAATAAATCTAACAGAAAATACTCCAAATGACCCAATATAATTTCTACCCAGATGCAGCAACATTTAAAAATCTCTGGTTGCTGGGTTTTAATAGTATATTCGAATAACTCTTGTATATGGTAACATTTGCCCCTTTTTAGTTCCCTATGCCTCCTCCCTCCCTCCCTTCCTATCCCTCCCTCCCTCTCTCCCTTTCTTTTGTTGTAGATCCACCCAGATCTGCCTGCATGTGACAGTAACCACCAATTCAACACATTTACTCTCAACACTTTAGTCAGCATTCCCATTTCTGTGTCTTCCATAACAAACAGCAGAACCATTAACATATAACTTCAACAAAATAAACAAGAGGTGCAGAATGTTTCTTTACATCACTATAGCCCCATAAAGATTTTAGAAACAACTGCGAGAAAAACATGTGAAATGAAAACGCATGCAACATCAGTAAAACCTAAAATCTATTACAGATTAAGAAAAAAGAGCATCTGCAATCTATTAATAATAGGAAAATATTAACAGTTTAAAGCAGATTTTATTAAATATTAAATCCAAGACTATTCCTAAAGTTTTCCTTTTCCTGCATATTAGAACTAGCTTCGTGGAGTTGAAGACTGGGGATGACTGGCTTCAGAAATTTGAACTCATTTGTCCCAGTACCTCCCATCAGACACACCTCATACTGGTGGCTCTGGGACAAGGTCCCCGCCCCACTGACATCCACCAGGTGACCAGGAAAGGGGCCCTCAGGCACTGTGCAGCCACCCAGAGAGGTTGCCCTGGCCCTCCTGCACAGCCTCACCCCCACAAACAGCAGCACAGACAAGAGGAAGAGGGAAGACACAGAAGCCAAGGCAATGACCAAATAGAATGTGAGGACGTCATCTTCCTGTGCGGGTTCCTGTGCCACCTCAGGCAGAGGCAGGGAGGA